TACTAAAATATGTTTATTTTCTTGGAAACTGGGTCGGTTAAAAAAAGGATAAAAGAAACAGCAGCGATTTCTTTCTTGACGTTTCGTTCCTGATCAGGAACGTTTTCAAAACGCTTTTATTGTTAAAATGTTTGTTTATTGTTATAGTTAATTAAATAAAACCTAAACAACCATTTTCCGTAAAAAAATGTTTTTTAAATTTTTTTAAAACTATGCGTCATATCATATCGTACATCCAGTTCAATACCGCCGCAACTGCAAATTTTTAATTATTGATTTTATGGCGGTATTTCAGTGCCAACATGTTTAACTTCGAAATTAAATACAGCCACAACATTAAAGCCATTAAATACAGATGTGGCTCCTTAAAATATTAAAATTTCAGTGCAATAACGCCATATCTAACAAAATTCTAATATTATCTCAAAGTCTGTAATTCTTCTATGTATGGTTATGTGTCAGCAACATGTAAGTATACTTTATCAAAATTTTAAAGAGATTCCTCTTCAAGCTAATTAATTATGAAACTAATTGAACAGCACCATTGTTTTATTTCCTTCTACTCAAAAATTTTATAATTTACACTTCTGGCGGTATTGAACTGGATGTACGATATATTGTGAAAATTTATTCCATTGTACAATGACTGATGCATAGTTTTTGAAAAAAATTTTAAAATTTTTTTTTAGGAAAATGGTTGAAAATGGTTGTTTAGGTTTTATTTAATTAACTATAACAATTTTAACAATAAAAGGCTTTTGAAAAACTTCCCAATCAGGAACGAAACGTCAAGAAAGAAATCGCTGCTGTTTCTTTTATCCTTTTTTTAACCGACTATCACACCAGAACCCAATTCCCAAGAAAAATATATATTGTCATGATCACTAGGTGTTGAAATAGTGTATAGTTTTATTTTATTATTTATGTTATTGTCTACTTACCATTTATATGCTCAATATGTCAATGGTATCTTAATGTGTGCCGGTCTAGTTATTACTATTTGTTATATACTATACAACTACAGCCAGCACCCTATATTTATGCTCTGTTTTAGAATTAGAATCTAAAATTTTGATTTAATTATTACTCTTATTCTTAGTATTATTCTTTTAGGGGCGGTTCAAACAAAAAAAAAATAGATTTTAAAATTTTGTATTATATTTACTAAAATGTATATTTTTTGAAGCAAATAATAAAAGAATTAATATTATTAATTAATTAAATTTTATATAATTGAAATACAATTGTTTCAATATCAATTTTTTCCTTCATCCCCTGTCTTTATCCTCCTTGTTGATGCTCGTTCTAAAATCCTTTTCTTATCCTTCCTTTCCTGTCTTTATTCTCCTCCTTGAGGCTCGTTCTGAAAACCTTTTCTTATCCTTCCTTTCCTGTCNCCCTAAAATACTTTTTCAACGTTTGTATCAACTAGTCAGTCGTGACTACCCTTTTGCTATATATATATATATATATACAGAGTGACCCATTTGAATGCGGGCCACCCTCATAACATTTTTATTTATGAAGCGATTTTGACGAAATTTTTTTTGAAATGTAGAGGGGGCAAAGGTGTACTTTGGGGCCAAGCGGCGTCCAGTTCTTTACCTTCTGTGAATACTGTCGCCTACAGTTTATTACCCATTCGGATTTTCTTGTGCCTGATGCCTCGTGTTATGTGAATTTACTGTCCCATTGGTTGTAAATGTTGTCTCGTCAGTAAACAAATTTTTTTTAGAAAATTTCTGTAATTGGGGTATTCTCCCTGGCACTATAAGCAATATTTCATTCGTTCGGCTTTTAAGGTGTCGCTTTAAAAGGCTTCATATTATTGTATTTTTTAAGTTTTTTCCTTATGGTTTCCCGTGGTAATTGTAGGTCCAAACTAGCAATTCTTAAACTTTTTTTCGGATTTTCGGTGAAATAATTTGAAAATGTTCATTGCTTCTTCTTGGCTGTTGTACATTAATATTTTTTTAAATGTGCTTAGATACAGCTCCGTATTCGTTAAAAATATTGCTCACTCGCCCAATGGTAGACTTGCTAATATTTTGAATTTCTGGATGTCTGTCACTAAAAATTCGAGATACTTCCCTTTCGGATCTGTCTCTGTCATCACAAAGTTTTACTATTTCAATCTTATGTTGTAACGTTAAATTACAGAGTCATACTTTTTGACAGTGCACTTAAGGAACAATACGTAAATTTCACTATTGAGCTAATAAATTCGACATATTCATTCGTCTTTTGCTCAGTCATCTGCAATTTAAGTAATTGCAAAGCCTGCTATTGGGAATATTGTTCATCACTATGGATCTGTATTATTAAAGCATGTTTAAATAAAACAAAGATTGACACAATTATGAATAACGGGATCGACATTATTTATTAAATTTTTTTAGTGACGAGGCAACATTTACAAAAATATTCGTTCAATTAAAAGGAGATTTAGTTGAAAAATCCAGAATTTAAAGTTAATACATGTGTGTTAATTTCATTTTATTGTATATTTTTGTATATTTTATGTTAATTTCTCGTTTATTTTTCTGTTTGTTTCATTATATTTTGATATAGCGATGTCTATTAAATGTTGTTATTAAATATTTGTTGTGATTGATTTGTTATCGCATGGGTTACTAGATAAAACGCTTCTTAATGCATAATAAACAACTTGACAGCAATTTAGCCGTAGAATCGTTAATCTTGAATATTTTTTCATAAAATTTGGTACAGATCCATTTCAGGGGACGCCGAATCCAGTGGTTTTTTCTAAAAAAATCGCTAATATGGATTCTGGATTTTTCAGCCTCTGAATATGATCTAGTAAGCCTTGGTTTAAAAAAAACTGGACGCCGCTTGGCCCCAAAATACACCTTTTCCCCCTCCATATTTCAAAAAGAAAATTCGTCAAAATCGCTCCATAAATAAAAATATTATGAGGGTGGCCCGCTTTCAAATGGGTCACTCTGTAGGCAGAGTATATGTGGGAAGCCAGTCGACAATTGATAAATTAATAAGACATACAGAAAGGCACCTTTTCCT